GGCAAAATCTAAGGCAAAAGCCATAGATCCTATTTTCACTGCAGTTAACTCCAGCGGCTGAAGCATGCTTATCTTTGACCAAATTGAAATCTACAAGCACTTCTATGAAGTTTAAAACTCATCTTGCAGCAATTAGCAACATTAAAAGCAACAGAAACTGTTATCCTTTCTCAGATTCACTGCCTGTACTTTTAAGGGTATTATTACAGGTTTACATGTGTCTGTAAGTCAAGATAAAGTTTAAAAATAAACATCATATTAACAAAGAAATACACCTGTACGTCTTTACTACTACTTTACTGTACTAAACAAACTCTGATATTGTTTGCTTTATGTAAATATGTACAGTATGCCAGCATTTCATAAAAACAATATTGTAATATTTTCAGATATTAGGCAGTGTTCTTCACTAAAGCTCTAAAATAAAGTGACAATATGGCAATCAGCCATTGGATGCATACCTGCTAGTTAATGGTTTATGGAAAACAGGCATTGTATACAACTAGTTCTGAGAAATAGACTTTGTAGAAAATCCATGAAGTACTGTTCCCTCTTGTCAGTGAAAGAGAAAATTGTGTTAGACCCCGAAATTAAAAGACATCCATGAAACTTTGCTTCTCTTTGTCCAAATAATACTTTGGTGGAGTTTTTCGGAAAAAACTAATTTGGTGTAAGGCGACCTGAGAACGAAAATAAATTACAGTAGCGCTACTCATTTGGGAATTTCTGTCTTGTCAACATATAATACAGAAATAAGACAGATTTTAAGACTAATAATGGAAAAACCAAGGGAAATTTCCAGACAATATCATATACATGGCTGTGTGCTAAATACGTATTTCACTCGTGTTAATTTAATTAAAAGTAAACAACATTGCTCAGGCAACAGAAGTATATGCTCCTATGTTAGCATAAAAAGATATGTGTTTTTGAATGTTAAAATCACAAGATTAATAACCAATTGTACTTGAGGAAACAAGAGATGCTATTCATAAGCAACTGAAACTAATCTTCCAGCAGTTGCACAAACAGGTATAGTACCCATGGATTAGAGAATTGCTACTGTAGTACTCATCCATAATTAGGATGACAAAACTGGATCAAATAATTATAAACTCTTGGGTGCGACTTGTGTTACATGCAAATATTAATTAGAACTAAACAAGACGGTCAGATCATCTAAAGAGGTATAAGATCCTAGTAGGTCTTGCTTATCTAATCATCTAATAAAGTTGCTCAATTAATTCTGAAACTACAAATGCATGGATTGAGAATTGGTTTATACAGTGAGTTGGAAAAGAAAATTGTCCCCTTCCAATGATCTCCCATTTTATTTGAGCTCAGGCTCAAATTCTGTTAGAAAGCCATTTCTACAGCAAGGTAATGAGAATGTATCACTGTTCAAGCCCTTCAATACTTATGAATTCCTTCAGAACAGCTTAGTTTGCTGCGGTTTTTGAAGAATGTAGAGTGTGTTCAAGGTCTTTTCCCAAAGCGGCTTAGTATTAAGGTTAATCTCAAAAAGATACAGCACCACAACATGAATGGGGTCATAAATTTGAAGTTGGAAAGGACATTTGCAACAGCTTTTGCATCTTAATGTGGTGTATAACCGTTTGGTCCAGCTAATTACATGAAAATGTAATTTCCATTACAGATAGATACTAGCTAAGTTAGTATCATCTGTAATGGAAATTATGAACTGAAGTTTAGGAGGGATAACAACAAGTAAATATCGAACAGCTGCACCTACTGCGATCACCATCACTACCAAAGTAGCTGCATAAACTAAATTCAAATGCATTCATCTTAAGCATCCCTCCTCCAACCCATTTCCATTTTGCAGCTGCCCAGGAGGCTACCCATTAACAAAGCCAAACTCCTCTCACCAAGTATTCTTAGCATTCGCAAGCATTCAATCCTTGGATGTTGTTGTCCCTAGTGAAATGTCATTTAGGGCATCCTAAATTATATAGACGTTTTCTAGTTCATCGCAAAGAGGCTTCAGATCAATAGTTATTTACAACAACAACTAAACAGCACCCACATTACACAAGATACAACATAAAAGATCTGTAACCTAAAATCCTCTATAAATACAAATGGATTCAGAAACAGTTTCTTCCCCCAAGCAGTCTGTGTCATAATCAGCACCTGCACTTTAAGGTACTGCACTGTTTGCACTATGTCCTGTCGCAGCTGTATTTTAATGTCTTTTGTCTATTTACTGTCCTTGTCTGTTTGTCATTTGTGCCTATTTTTTTCTCTAATGTTACTGGGTACAGTTGAATGAGTAAGAAGTCCAATACACTTATTGTATATGGCAAATAAAGAAATCTTGAATCTTGACATCTTAAATGGGCCAACAAGAGGAACATCTGGCATCGTAAACGAACAGTATACAACCCATTCCCAGATCTCCCTTCCTATAATCCTGGATGTCCAGAAGTGAAAGGGACTTAATCTCCCTGTTCTAAAAAAACACCACCAAATCCAAAACTATAACAAGGTCAACTCACCTACTGCTTCTCCTTTCTGTTAACTCCATCTCCTTTGCCTGACCTTTCTCTCTCCTGTGTCTTTTTATGATGTCTTTCTGTTTGTTAAATGTTTATTCTTCAGTTTTTATTAACCAGAGTAGAAACTTTCTTTTGATCCTCTGTCTCTCACAGCCCACCCACAGCTAGGTAAATAGCTCAGTTTCAACATATTGTTTTTTATATATTATGACCTTTAAGGTTGGGACTACATTAATAAATATTTCATGACAATTTAATGACAAAGGCCCTCATTTCTTACACATAGGCCAGTTACAAGAAGAAAAGTTCACAATTACACAGCCCGATATAGCTATAGGTTAATAACACTTAAAGATAGCTTCATTTTGGATTTCTAAATCTGAAAACTGCTAAATTGTATTACCGCTCTAGGGTAATGACACAGGCAGCAGTGGGGAAGAGGAGAGACAAAGCATGCAGTGACATTGAAATTCATGTTTTATGGTCTTGTTCGCTTACTGGACACATTCAATTAATGAACAACTAATAAATTCTCAGGAATATACTGAATAGGAACTAATTAGAATTAATATTCTATCCTTTCTCACACTTGAATTGAAATAATTACATCATCCTTATTTTATTTTGTAGTTTTGAAATATTTTAATTTTGTAAGTAGTTTAAATACATTTTTTGAACTATCCCCTCAAATTTGGTGCCACGTTTAACTCAGTGTCCTAGGTGACTGCTTAGTGCTGAACTCAAAGGGATGTGGTCTTCTGACAAGCTAAATGAACTAAATCTTTTTACTCTTGAAAAGAGGAGACTGTAAGTATATAGCCAATAGTGTTAAAGGGCAGTGGGATGGCTGTGTGGCTAGCCCCCTCACAGCGTTGGGTCCGTGGGTTCAGTTCCTAGGGTGCCATCTGCATGGAGATTGTATGTTCTCCCCATGTTCGTATGGGTTTCTTTCCAGATGCGGAGGTTTCCTCCCACAGTCCAAAGACATACTGGTAGGTTAACGGGCATGGGGGAAAACTGACTTTGTTGTGAGAATCTGCGTTTGTGTCTGTGTGCCTGCCCTGCCCATCCAGGGTGTATCCTGTCTTGTTCCCAATGCTGGCCGGGATAAGCTCCGGCTCCCTGTGACCCCCATATTGGATAAAGCAGTTTGAAAGTGGATAGATGGAATAGTATTTTAAGACTACTGTGTAAAAATTATGTACCTCTTAATATAATTCTGAATCAAGGTATTGGAACTGTGAAGCAGATGATGCAAATTAAAAAATCAGAAGCACTCGTTTCATATTTGAAGTGGGCTGTCAAATTTCCTTCAGATTAATTCTTTATCGACTGAGCCTCCCAAGCAGAGTTCCTGAGAAACTGTGCTGCAAAAGGGGACACTACAGTTGATATACAGTACAAGTTTAACATCAACAAAAAAACAGAACTATAGCAAAGAGTGATCAAATACCAGCACTAAAACTATTTTTGTCCTCTACAATCTTCAGCATTTTTACTAGCAGCATTTAAATGGGATAACATTGCAGCCAGCTGGTCACTGGGCAGCCTTGGCAGACATGCATGCTATCTCAAGTTATTTCAAAATGCCTTTTGGACATATTGCCCATACTTATGGGACAGTCACTGAGGTGACAGGGGGGTCACTATGATGGCCATAGCCAAGAAGAACTATTACTGTGAACTAAAATTAATGTAATCTTCCTCTACCATCACCAATTGGTTTATTAAAATCTATTAGATATGGTTAATAGTTATTTGTATTCCTATTTAGTTTCCCAGAATCTAAAATGCCCCAGTGATGATCTGTTTTTTCCTCTTTATGATTATTTTACATTAATGGGTATTTGCAGAGGCATCCAGAGGACATTGCAGTTTATGCTTAAACCTTATGTTTTGGAGGGGGAACCAAATATATTGAATAGAAAATAAAATGCTCTCAAAGTCAATGCCTAATATGGTGACTAACTCATCTGTATGTAATCCAGCAAAGCTAGCCTAGTTCATACATTTTTTTGGTAAATCTGTTGCAGGACCCGTTATTTCTTTACAAAATAGCATTTCTTCAAAAAAATCGTCCTCCCCGCTATATGGAATGAAGCAGGCTAAGAGGCTTTTACCAGCAATGTCGGTTTATTCATCCAGCTGAGGTAATTATTTACTTTCTTTAATCTAAAAGTTCTAAAAATAATTCTAAAATCAATCTCAAAATATAAATGGCTAAATACAGTGAGGAGACTGTTTTGATCCTCGGCGTATTTACTGTATGTGGCAGACCTGTTGCAAAAAAGATTGAAACTTGAGCTGGCTACACAGATTCTAATTGCTTGTAAATAGCCGGACTAGAGGGGAATTTGTTAATTATTAGTAAAATGGTTAAGGGTTTAGAAATGCACATTGTCACATGGATGGTTTGATATTTAAAGGGTGATTCCTAGAGTTTATATTCACAAAATGTACAATGACTCCAAAAAGGAAACATACAGGAAACTTTATTGTAGGCCTTGGTGAAGATGTTAGACATTACTTCAGCAACTGAGTTCAAGGGGAACTTTACGGAGCACAGGTTGAGCAATCCCAAATTGGAATTTAGCCAAAACGCTCCTGGTCTTTTGAGCAGTGTCTAAGAATTAAAGACCTTAGTTTAACATCTCATCCAAAGTAATACATCTCCTACAGCACAGTGTTACCAGTCACAGGTCCAACTCTGGTCCAAAAAGAACACTGTTACTACTGGTCCAGTAATAACACTTATAGTGGCAAAATCTGTTCCAGTAGGGCATATTATTTTCTATGTCACGAAAAAAAATCCATGCCTTAAACACATAGATGGAATTACTGCAATGTACACCAGCAGCAAATTTACAATTGTGTTCAGTGAACTAAATTGAAACCTATCAACAGTTCCATACATGTGGTTACAAAGGCAGAAGAATCCACTTTTAAATACTGATGTATGTTTCCACTAGATGGCAACAGTATCCTGGGTGAATTCACACAATTTATAAGATAGGATTAATCTTCTAACCTCCAAAAGGGAACTGATGGCTCTGTTAAGTTTTTATGGCCAAAACTATTAGTGGCATAAGTGGAAATCAGGCATACCTCATACCTACAAACACATTAATTACTTTAACATTTTTTGGGATTAACACAGATCACTAAAACTGGAGGCCCCTATTATTTTTAAGTCTCTTTGTTGAAAGCCTATTATACATACACTAAAAGGTAAACCCTCACATATCTTCTCCAATTCTGTAGCACAATTCTCCAGAATTGGGCCCTCAGAACCTGGTGGTTGTGATGAAAACGAAGCTCTTGAGAACATAAAACGTAATACAGTTGTTTTAAATTCAATTTGAAATATTTCGACTTTGATGGCAATTGTACTGTAACTTCAATGTCTTCTTTTATTATAATACTATCAAGTACTACGTTAAGAAAAGATAACCCTTTCTATTGTCTGTGAAACAAAATTGAATACCTCAATTAACACCTAAATTCATATTTGAATAAACCCACAGGTGTGAGAACATTAATAATGACAAAATATAGATTTAAAGAACATCTACAGTACAAGGATAAAAAAGTTGGAGTTTCTTTCATTCCAACTTCCATTGATCAAAAATCTTCCATTGATCAAAAATTATGTCATGTGTGTGTCTGTTCCCACTTTTTATTTCCACCTGCTCTATGTAAGCTGTAGTATTAATGATCGGTTTCTTCACGTTAGTGAATCAGTCCTGGTACTTTAGCCACAATGTAGGTTTAACTCACCTGGCCACTGACTTCCCATTCCATGCACTTCCTGTGTAAGATGACGAGCACAATCTAACCTGTCTGCTGACTGAAATTAGCATCTTTATATCTTGGAAGGGGTATAAAATACAACCTCAATGTTGCACCTTGTTATAATTAAGACATTTCACTCATAACTTTGGTGTAAAGTATATTCCTAGAGCCGTGTTTCACATCTTAACTATGTTCTTTAACATTCCAATAGCTAAAAGACCAAATGGCCACTCAAACCATTACTTATGTCACAGTTTCCTCCTTTGCTGCTATTTCCTTTGGTATTTATGGGGCCAGTTTTAAAGGCTTTGATGTTTTAAATTTGGAATTGTTAATTGTTTTCTTTTTGTACCCACCCAAAACTGAGAATTTAACCCTCTAATCCACATTGGTATACATCATAAGAATATCAAAACATATTTACCTATATGTGATTGTTTAATGGTTGGGTATTAATCTATTTGAGCATTTCTGGCACTGTAATTCAAGGAGATGCTGGTAGAAAGTGAGTTCAAATTCCCAAATAATGGAAAACAGTTAAGAGTACCCTTTAAAAAAAGCCTGTTTCAGAAAACTACAACAAGTAACGTGTAAAGGTAAAGCATAATCGTGGACTCAAATTATTAGTAATATCTTAGCACTTACTTAACATTAGCAATTGATGGAGCTTGTTTTATTAGATTTAACAGTAGAGCATACTGGAAAAATGAAATACAAGATGAGCCACATTTATAAAAAAAACAAAACATAGCTGTTAACTTCTAGGAGGTATTAAAAAAAGATTTTTACATATCACAGTAAGGACTGCAACACTCAAAATACTTTAGGTTACGTGAGACTACATTAATAAATTAAATGAGTAACCTCTACTTTAAAACATTTAAACAAAAACATCTCTGAACAAAACCAAAAAGCATAATACTTAAAGTCAACATAATCATTCTCACATCCACATGATATGACATCCTGTATATTATAAGAGTTTTGATCAGTCTAAGATAGGAAAATATTTCTATTATAGATGTGGTTAGTGCCAGTATTATCCAGAAAAATATAATGCTTTTTATTTTTACAAAAAATCATAATTTCATTTTATATTTCTAAATTACACCTATAATACAGTAGTTATATACACTTCCCAAGGCATTATGGGATAGAAAAACAGATTCTTCAGAAGAGAAGAATAAATTAATGGGTAGAAAATAATGCTTCCTGAAGATAGTGGAAGGACTGCCCATATTATTTAATTTGCCAACCAAACATTTCAGACGAGTCCAACGGTTCTCCACTGAAACCCGTCCATCCATTTACTCTTGTGTTCTGCTTCAGACAGATGAGCAGTGGAGCTGGGAGTCTAGTATAGCTCTAACGTCAATGTGTGAGCAAATACTGTCAATACGAGAGTAAAGAATGACAAAGTAGAAGACGAGGCAGAATTCAGGCATGTTCTGATGTGACTGGATCTCCCATATCCCCGAGGTGGGGGCTGGACTGTGATGTATCCATTTATAATTCGGACCAGTGGAGGAGGAGGAGGTGCAACAGTAGTGCTGAAAGACAAAACAAGGATAAAGGACAATTAGGCCCGTTGTATGAGGGCGACTGCTAGGCTATATGCTTTTTTTAGAACATGTCCTACAGTATCCCCTTATCCTCACATTTCCTTTTTTGGGGGGCACCTAATTATTTTGAAGAACCGATCCATTTAATTTACACTCTCGCTTGATTAGATCTTTTTAACCTGTTTTTGCACTTAGTGCTTGGTTTCAAGAATACCCAGCTGCAGGTGTGTCGTTGCCATGAAATGTAGTAAAGAATTCCTTTTATTATCCGCAAAACTGCTTATTAAACGTGTACTCCCCTCATGTCTTTCTAAACACCTCTCGGTAGACGACCCTGGTGATGAAGTGCAGGAGTGGGGGAGAAAAGCACATTATCCAAGTCCCGTTACTCTGAATCCACACATCTGAGAGAATGGAATCCTGTGCAAATGCAACTCTAAAAGTGCAATAGGCTCAATACTAATCACTAGGATTTGAAAGCAGTTTTATTAAAAAATCTAAATAAGCAAGTACAGCTCAGTTAGCCTCAGTGATTAAGAGTTCCGCTGGCATGAAGACCAGAAACAGACAATTGCAGCACTACTGCTCTAAACCATTCGGAAATTATAGACATAAAGGTGTTTTTGTCCTCGAATTTTCTTTTTGTCCTCAAATTTGTATTTCCTAGAACCTACTTGACAAAATCACATAGGTGATGTACTTACATTTCCCTTTTGACAGAGCAAGGCTATGGACTGAGTGGTAATTGCTACTCTCAGTGGTGATTAAGCACAGCGTTAAATCGCTGTTCTTTCCCCCACTGATCTGCTCACACGTGCTACATCCCCATCTGCCAGAAAGGTCACTGCAAACACTTTCCTGTTTGGATTGTAGATTCCTGGCAAGGGCAGACATGGCAGATTCTGACTTTCTTTTAGAAAGTCAATTTATTATACAAGACTGACAGAACCTTCACAGGCTACTAGCGACAGCCCTTCAGTTGAAACAGCTCACCGCTCCACTAAGCAAATGTTGTGCATCTGAACAGCCAACAGATATGAACCCTGCTGTGCCTGTGTGGTCTTTCCTTCACTGTTCCATGCTTAAACGGCAGAGCAAATTCACCTACTGGGATTTCTTGATAAATGTTCTGCACTAGGAGTTGGCTGCAATCCCATTGTTCAAAGTTGCTGATCTCACCCATGCTACAAATAGGCTTTCTGTTAGCCTGCACAACAAGGCGGGAGAAAAATGAATCACCAACATCTACCACATTTCCTTTGTAAAATGTGTGTGAAACGAAGTTGGATTTCGTTGTTTATTGTGTCTAATGCAATATGAAACACATTTGAAATATTGCCACTGATCCCCCAAAACCCTTTTTCTGGGAGCTGCTAGAGTTCACCTTATCTGCCAAAAATGTCTACATTCCTCTGGGATTGTAAAGCACGCAAAATTGGGATGTTACAAATGGCTAGATCTCGCCCAAGAAACCATGTTTTTTTCTGAGCCTGAAGCACTAGCAAAAGATGCTGGTCTTTAAAAACAATTGTGGAAATAATAATGTGCTTGAAGCAAAAAGATACCTTCAAGAGCGCCACAGACAATTAAATGAGGTTTTGCTGAGACGTAAGTGTGTGCAGCATGAGATTTGGTCAAGGAGTGGAAAAGTGCCAACTGGCTCTAGTGCTAAAGACCTGGAAGAGGGATGGCAAATGAATACAGGAGAGTAGGCCTCAGTCAATCCACCAAGCCTGCTGAGAATTAACATTAAATCATTTCAGCTAGGCCTTTTGATGTTCATACTTCCAAACCAGAGCAGTTGTGACTGGAACTAGGCCAGTGAAAACAAACTGACAGGTTCTTATGCTGTGACTGGCCAATGACAAAGACACAGAGAACCCAATTGCAAGCTAAAATGCATCTGACCCAATAATACGTTAAATAATTTAATGCAAAGATTTTTTTTTTAAAAAAAAGAAAGTTGGGTGGTATGCTATTGCAACGGCTGACCTGAACCTGAAATTAGCTTGCATATTTAATCAGCATGAAATCCAAATGTTTTCATCACTACCATATGCTTTTCATTAATAATATTTACTTTTCATTGATTGGTCTTGGCTGCAAAACTTGGATATGTCCCTAGATTTTCCACTTATTTTAGAAGTTAGAATTCAGAACGGTTGCTCATTTTTCTCTCACTGTTCTTTAAGTTCCAACACTGTAAGCCTGTTTATTTTTGTTTAACTTGCATCACAAGGCTTCGTTCTCTGGCAGCAAAATCAGACACATAAGGTGTAATACAGAATGATGTGTCAGCATGTGGTACCACATAAAGAGTAACAAGAAAATCTTTATATTTTCTTATGCTGGAAGGGATCATAATATACACTTCAAGAAGTGTTTTGACTACCAAAACATAAAATAATATTTGAAAAAAATATTTGGTACCATTATCTGGGCATTCTGTCATAACTTTAGTGAGGTTATGTTTTGTTTGGGAGGCTGCAGACAACATGATCTATTTTTTAAAAAATATATGATGTGTCCCAGCTGGTTAAGCAAAATCTGTGTTTTTCCATTATTGTCAAATATCAGGAACTCTAGGTGAAATTTTTAATCTTTAAACCTTTAAAATAGATGAACAGGCAATTTCTCAGAACACAATTAAAAAATAACATTTGGAGTTAAATAAATTGTTTTAATATTTTCCCTTGTAAATGACACTTTCTTCCTATGTCTGTGCCAATATTGTCTACTAAAGATGGATGTCAAACTCCTGGCTTCTAGTCACTTATACGTTTGTTAAACCACATTTCCCTTGACTGATTGTTCTTAACCCATATTCATTATCCACAGTCAAACGCTTATCAAAGTGAAAAGACTGGGAAATAAGTATCAGGGGTATCTTTGCCTTTTCACTGCCAAGAAGCCCAGAAGCTGGGCCTGTCTGGAAATGCATCATTGATGTCTTTTCAATGATGCACCATTGTAAATAAAAGGGAATTAAAAATGCTGACTTTCTTTGATATTCAAATACATTTCCTTTGGTAAAGCACCAAAATTTACTTTTAAAAGAAAACATTACCCTCTTACTATTGAAAAAACTTACCTATACATAAACTTTCAAAGGCTGCATTCAATAAAAAGATTTGCCCACTATATGGTCATTTTAAATTTTCTCTAGAAACGTAGCTTCTAATTAACTGATATGATTTAACTATACATTAGCTGGCCTTTCAAATCGGTTCTGTTTTCAGACTGGCTACATTTTTTAACCAAATGCCTTTTTTCTTCTAAATATGCATTCAGCAGATCCACCATACTTAAGAATTAATGAGCAGGTTTTAACAGAATCCTACAGTGGTGGGACTAGAGGAAGCCGAATACTGAATTAGCAAAAAAGGATGTGAGGTGATGTGTGCTTGCCTCTGGCAGACCTACTGGAGCAGGTCTAGATCATACAGATAACAGAGGCTAGAGATTGCCGAGACTTGAAAATGAAACGTCATACCTGGAAATCAATTCAGAACCCAGCTGCAGCAGTTTGATAAACCTCAGGGAGGATCTCATAAGCTGTGCAATTTTAGCATTCTTAAGATCACTGATTAGTTAAGTTTGGCATATTTCCATTTTTCAACAGAGCTCCACTAGAAAAATTGGAATTGAAGCAATCTTAAAAAAGAAGTACATTTAAGATTCTCATTTTTGCGTTTCATACAGTCAACTTAGGCATGTTATGTCGACTGACAGGTATCAAAAAGCAGAACAATCCTGTTCACCTTTTTGCTCCAATCAATAATGCCAAATTTTACGCTCCTGACAAATCACAGCTTGCTGGCTTACCGAACACAGCCCCATTTTTAGTTAATATATGTAATACAATATATTTAATTAAATACATTATAAATAATTAAAAAATATTTAAATACATTTAAAAAAATTAAAGTTGATATGCATTACATATTTCCAGTACAGTACATTGCTGTTGTAATAATGCTATTCTATAAACGTTTTTAAGAGTGCTGCTACTTTGCTGGAGTTAATGGGTGCGTCAGTGCTCCACCCGTGCACTACCTCTCCTCGATGCGGACCCACAGGTCGTTGAACTGGCGGAGGCGCTGCTTCTTCTGCTTGTTCTTGCGCTTCCTCTTCAGCTTGCGCTCCACCTTCTCCAGCAGGTCCAGGCTGTCTGGGAGGAGCACGTGGGGCAGCAGCTCCTCCTCCTCGTGCTGGGGCTGCTGGTGCTCGTGGAGAAAGGGCTCCAGGTGGGACGCAGGCTCCAGCTCCTGGCCGGGGGAGTACGGCGTGTGCAGAGGGAAAGAGGGCGCCCTCGCCTTCGCGCTGAGGGAAATGGGAGGAAAACAAAGCTGTGAGGGAGGGGGCGGCACCGTAGGATCCTAGGAACTACACCAAAAGTGGCCGAGGGTTCAGAACACGTTAAACAGAATTATATATAAATGGCTTCTGCCTTTGTAGCTCAGGCCGTATATTCTAATTTGGGGGCGAAAGAAGAAAGCAAGTTGTATATAACATATATATTTTTTACATGGATGGCATGGTGTTGGAGTGGTTTGCATTGCTGGCTCACAGTGCTGGGGCCCTGGGTTCGCTTGCAGAACTGGGGTGCTTTCTTTGTGGGGTTTGTAAGTTCTTCCTGTGTTTGTGCTCCAGTTTCCTCCCATAGTCCAAACACAAGCATGTTGGTTAACTGGGTTCTGGGAAAATTTGCCCTGGTACGTGTGCCCTGTCTTGCACCTGTTGCTTGCCAGCATAGGCTCCAACTCTCCTGTGGGGCCTACACTGGCAATGTATTGAATGAAGCAATCAGAAATAAAGATATAGTTTAGGTGCTAATGAGAATTTCTCATATTTCTATGTTCAGCAACAATGTAATATGATACAGCTTAGGGAGCTCTGTAAAGAGTCTCATTCATAAAATTTGTCCTTTTAAATCAACAATTTTAAAGAAGTCTTTTAAATAAAAAATAAATTTTAATTGGTGTATGCCATACCCTTTTCTAGTATTGTACCACTGGCTATGTATAAGGACCTAGACTAAAAAGAAAACATATCCCAAGAATAATGTTTCACAAATCTGAACTTATTTAGAAAAACGTATGTTTTTCAGTTGGACAGTATCCACGTACATACATAAAAATAATAGACTCCATATCAAGATAATTAAATCCGTCTGAACACTGGAGCACAAACTGGATTTAGGAAAATAATTTGGAATTGTCGTTTCTCTTCTTTTAATAAACTCCTTAAGGTTGAGATAACCAGTTTTCAATCACCTCAGATCACCCCTACATCTCTCATGCTTCCCAAATATCCACTGTCAAGAGCCTTTCACCTGGTCTCCAATTCTGAGCCCTTAAGCAGCCACAATTAAGCATCATTAAAAGTTCTGATTCAGCTCTCCCTGAAAATTTAAGGTTACTGGCACCTTAAACACAGGAGTAAAAACCTTTTTTTTTTCTCTACTGTTACTGGGTACAGCTGAATGAAAAAGCATTCCAATAAAAAATCTTGAAGCACAGGAAGTGGAATAACTGGATTGACTAGATGAACAGTTTTTGTCCTCGGCTAACTATACACAGTGGCTAGGGGACTCCCATTACAGTAACTTTCTTTCTAGTTTTATTAAAATAATAACCTTTAAAGAGACAATGTAAAAGCTTGTTCACAATTTTCCCTGCTACTTGCTACTTTGCAGGAAGTTTGGGGATTTTCTTTGGTTTATGGAGACACCTTCTCCCCTTGAACGTGCTAACCATTTTTAAAATGGCTCAGATACACATAGTGTGTATGTGTGTAGTGTTCAGAGCCTTGCAGAAATGAGAATGTAAAGCAGCTTTATTGCAAATAGTTTGAAAGCAGAAACCCTAGTTTCTCTCGCACAATTTCAGTAGTCCACAGCCTTTAGCTTGGTAGTATCTTCGTCAATCTGGGGTCGCATCTATTTTGTCACATGGAGATGATAAAAACAAGCCTACTCACACAAGGAATTTCTCCTGCATTCGCTGAGAAAGGAGTTAGAGGGATTTTTTTTTATGAACATATTCTTTCAGATAAATGATGTTTGCTCCATCAAGATGTCTGTCTCCTGTTCCTCGAGAGAACCGGAAGGCCAGGATGAGGGCAGATATAGACAAGGAGATGGATATACCGATAACAGAAAGATTGCCTCCTGGCCAGATTGGCGATGCATAGCTCCAGTTTACCCTGATTATGCACCACAATGCAAGTTTAGAATTTTAATTATGTACTGTATTTCTACTTGTGTCATTCTGTTTCAAAACCACAAAAAGGCAAATAAGTAAACATTTTATCAAATGTTTTGCATCAAATGATTAAGGGGTGCAGAGAAAGAACGATTTAAACTTTGTATTTCCTCAGTATGAGGATCTAACTTCTAACACTGCTCTGGTGAAGTTCAGAGAATCTTAAGCTGACAGCTGAATAGAAATAATGGTATAAAGGACTAGGTGGTGCAGTGGGTTATTTCACAAGCCTTTCAAGTATTTAAGCTTTAAATGCCTGGGTTCCAATGCAGATTAAGTCACAAGTGTAAACCTAGAACCAAGTGAACATCTGACTGTTACAAAAGTAGCATATAATTTGGCTAAACAAAACCTCATGGAAGCAAGCACAATAGGAGAGTCCAGGAATTGATGAAGATACTCTTTCATCCCCATTGAGGGTATTGCTCTAGGGCTGAGCTGAGGAAGAGTCACAGTGGAAACACACATGTGGTAGCTTCTCTACACAGAAATATATACTTTCCATTGCCCCAGATACAGCACCTATCATCACTTAAATAAAATAGTCAATAAAATAATCTCTGAAAGTCACAAGATCCAATGTGTTGCATAATATTTAGGCCTTACCCAAAACAGAGAGAAGTCTCTGAGGCAATATTAAATGCAATGGAACCACTTCATTTTCTCACAATGAGCTTGAACCTAGATATATAAAATACAATTGAGGATATATAAATTCAAGCCTGATGTCTTCTTGACCGCCTTGGTTATGAGCTTAGCTTCAGTTTTCTATCACAAATCAAAAACGTTGAATTTATGTGGAAAACACAGTTCCAGCTGTGCTTTACGATAATTGTGCTGTAATAAGTTTGGTTGAGGCCCTGTTGCCCACAAGGAGGCATTCTTATACAATAAAAAACAGAACCAAAGGTTTTCCCTTATAAGCACAGTTAGAACAGTCTGATCTTCAGGACAGACCCTGCCTGTACAAGTGGAATTCTCTGATTTCGATGCTAGCACTGTGGGTATCAGTGAGCTAAATGGAAAGATAACATTACCCTACCATATCCTAGTTGGCTGTATATTTTCTTTTCAAAATCTAATAATAGAAATTAGAAAGAAGTTACATGAATCATTTGTTTAGGAGTGATCGCAAACTGTAAAACTGCAAATGCTAATTTACTTCTTTGACTGTTTGAGAGATAGCAATGTGACAAACATTTATGCATCGAATAATGAGCTGTCGACATATTCATCTTGCAATAAACAAGGTCTCAAAAGAACAGAAAGACAAATTATTGGTTAATGTTTTACATTATCTTCAGAAGGTACATTTTTTTGCAATAATTTAAGCATAACTGAACATCTGTTTTTGGTCTGTGGTAAAATTACACAAACTAAGGGTGTGCTTACTTGGAAAATGATTTCCATTTGAAATCTAGTCAGTAAAAAAAAAAAGGCAAAAATAAATATCACACAGCCCTCGGGCTGAAGCTGCACTACAAGGGACTGAACGGCATATGTAACCTTATGCCAGTTTAAGTGATAAAATATGGTCTGCCAATTATACAGAGCCATGTTTTAAGAAGAAAGTATAATATGTAACAAATCTGCGGTCAAATAAGATGTCTGGGTTTTGACTCCAGGCTGAACACTGCCAATGGAATCTTCCAAAGATGAAGTTCTGTTTATAAAATGGCAGGTTATTCTAAATTACTGTAAGAAACATCTTAAAATTTCCAGTGTCTTATTCTTTCTAAAACATTAACTGAAAATGGCAAACATGGATAGCCATTAGACCCCCAGAAAGACACAACGAACCCTGTAAAGGTATTGTGAGTAATCTATGCACAAAAATGAGTTCATTACCTTCAAAATTATAAACCACAACAGGGTGACAGAAAGGCTTCTGAATGTCACAGATTCAGACTGAGAAGATACAAAACTTGGTGATTGTGCCCATAGCTTGTTTTTCCCTCACAGAAACAAATCAAATCAAGAACATTATGAATCTGATTTCTCTTTGATGATGATAAAACAGAAGAAGAACTCACATCATATTTTTCTATCTTTATTTTTACAGCAGCCATATCAACCTCCTGGGAAAGTTAAGATTGCGGCTCGAAGAACTGTCAGTGGGTCCAGTAGGGGGCGCTCACCGTGTGGTCTGTGTGGGTCCTAATGCTCCAGTACAGTGATGGCGATACAATACTGTAAAAAGGCCCTGTCCTTCAGATGAGACCTAAAACTGAGGTCCTGATTCTCTATGCTCATTAAAAATCCCAGGGTGTTTCTAGATAAGAGTAGGGGTGTAACCCCAGGATCCTGGCCAAATTTCTCCCTGGCCTTTACTGATCATGGCCTCCTTATAATCCCCACCTATGAATTGGCTTCATCACTCTGCTCTCCTCCCTCCTGATTGCTGAGTGGTGAGTGTACTGGCGCACAATGACTGCCTTTGCATCATCCAGGTGGAAGCTACACATTGGTGGTGGAGATGAGTCCCCATTACTGTAAAGTGCTTTGAGTGGAGTGTCCAGAAAACTTCTATATAGTGTAAGTGTAAGGAATGCTACTTTACACCGACACACTGACAGCTGTGAAGGGAGGAGGGAACAGATTTGAAGAGTTTAGATATTTAAAAAAAAAGGAATATAACAATTTAAAGAGAGCACTTAGTTATTTTTACCTGTGAATGCGCTGCCCGGCAGGTGTGTGCTCCACTTCATAGCCTTGACTCCGTAACACGTCAATCACTGTGTTGTTTCCCAGGAAGTGACCTGCAATACAAGACAATTTGACTTGCTGTCTAGTTGGACACCAGGGAACCACAGCGGTATGGATCGGTACTCATTGAAGACATGTGGTGTAGCACCAACCTTCCCGTTCAGAGCATTGCACGATTTCGTGCAGGCTGCCCTCTCAAGAAATCTGCCATGGTGTATATCGTTTAGTCTTGCCTGCTTTGAACAATCACATCCTTATCAGATAAAAATGAATAGCCCTAACAAGGAGATTGTACAATTATGACACAACAGCTGGTGCCAAGAGGCGGCAGACACAGTCACATCCAAACCTCAACACACTGCTAATATCCATACCACACCTGCAAAAGTGAGATGGGGTATTATTAAATTTTCTCTGAGATGTCGTGTGTAACATGGTAGGATTCTGTAAAAATGAAATGCACGAAACTGTTTCAAATGCCACAAGCCTAGAAGCACACGAGAGTTAAGCTCAAGGGTTCTCAGTGGTCAGGCTGCTTGTTAAACAATGGAGAGTTGTAAATACCATGAACTGAGAGGTCTCACTGTGGCAGAAACATTCTTACTCTAAAATTGGACTAAAATAGGCCTGAAGAGCACTACTGAGAATTGGCTTCTGTCACCTGTTCCTATTCTTTAGCCCGTGTGCGCCCCTGTGACCTGGAAAGAAAAGGCCTGCACTTTGAGCTGCTGAACTCCCTCACAGCTCCTCATTTTCCCTCATAGTGAGGTGAAATGATGCATTGAGGGGTCGGGTTGCTATGTCAGGGGTCTCCATTCTTCTCCACTCATTCACAAAGGAAATGGGATCCCATTGTGTGCACTAGCTCAGCCATGTACCATATCGATGTGCAAACAAAGGCTAGGCCTTTAATCTATGCCTAATGGAAGGAGAGGAACACTTAGGCAAGATAATGCACTGATAGAGAGGCTTTCTCCTCCAAGATAACCAAAACTGTAAAAGAACTGCCCAGAGAATATCCCAGACCATAGACTCAGTGCTACACTCATTGAGACTGAAGTACTCTTTGGCACAGTAACCAAATGTGATTCTCACATAAGTGAATTTCTAAAACAATAATATAGGGCTTAGAGACATGATTTGAAAGAATAAATGTTGGAAACTAATCTACTATGGTAATAAAAACACATAAAACATAAGACATATTGGATGTATACTTCCATAATAGCTGGAATGCTACATGTATTGCTAACGCAATGCGTTGGCACCTATACAATCAGATGACATCACCCAAACCCTGTTTCTTATATTGCTCATTAGCAGCACAGAGCACTATAGATGGTATACCTTAGCAGTCCAATCTGTGCTCTTAGTATATGAATCATACATGTTGTGATTCAAATAATTATGATGAAGCTTAAAGTAATGGCAGTAATAAACGACTTCAAAGTTTTTTTTTTAACTGCATAAAATTACAGCCATTTTGAGTCAATATTTACATAATAGCAATTTTTTACACTGGAATGTTCAAAATTGAGTTTTGTGAAGATTAAATTCGCTAGAACACCACCAAGTAAAATGGTTTTACTGCTGTAATTGCATTTTTGCTCAAAATAATGAGCAGGCACAGAAAATGCTTTCTTGTCACATAAGAAATATTAAACAGTTCAACAATGTCCCCTTTGGCCAGTTCCTGAACTTTGTATTGAATATGTATATTTTTTAAAATTTATAACAGGAAGCTTGCAGTCCAGACAGAGATCACATATCCACTCAGTACCTTTTTTTTTCACTGAACACATTAAATTTTGCGACGTGGGAGTGATAGTGAAACCCATAGCTTGCCAAACCTACAGAGAAACTAAAAGACCTGGAGATATTTTGTTGTTTTGTTTTGCAGATGTATTATACAATTAACATTACCCTTTTTCTTATGATCTAAAATTAACTGTGTTTTATTGTATTGTATATATATTTCCTAAAACAGAAGACATGAAATGACCAAATAAGGAAAAGGTCAGCTGGTATACATTTATATTGTTTCATTTTTACAAAGAGCCATAAACAGAACAGATTCCCTTGACCTGACTGGGTGAAGTTTTGACCTTACTTTTAAAAGAAATGGGTAGATAAGCAGGTTGAGAAAACTCCAGAAAATGAATAATGTTTCTTCAGTTGCTTTTTTCTCTCCTGGAATTATTGAATTTTTTTCCCCAAAACATTCCCAGGAGAAACTTTCTCAGCAAGGAGTTCCATGAGGAAGAAAGAGCAAAGAGCAGAGTTAGGAAACTGATGCCACAATGATTTATAAGACTGGCGTTAATGAGGTAATTTAGGTACGACAAATGGAAGTGTTAGCACAATGAAACACACCTCTGGGAAATGGACATCAAAAGGAGACCCACAAACTGTTTCAGGCGGTATAGCAGTTAAGTACTGGGTTATGTTAGAAGTAGACAGGGCTTTGAATTAGCTACAGACTTATTTAATTCTCTTTTCGGGGCAGATCACTGAGCATCTCAGTGCAATACAGTTCTTAATGTATTGTATTACATTTTTTTTTTAAGTTTGATTTATTATAGAGAGTACAGCAAATGAAAAAGTAGCAAACTGTTGCTGTTGAAATTGTACATACATATTTTAAGTAAATGAATACAAAGACCGACTGAGCAATTTTTATATAGTCTGAGAATCGGCAAAAGCCCCAAATCTGGAGATTTTAAACTGTAATAAAATTAGTTGAAAACCACTTGTTACCACACACATGGATCAAGTTTATCTTGACCAAATAACACACATGGATCAAGTTTATCTTGACCAGATAAGATAAGAATAATAAAATGTCACAAAAGGTTCCTTGGTAACAGAAATATGAGAAATATTTTTTATCAGAAATATGAAAGGATACATGTAGATTAAAAACTGACTTTAAATCTCACTTTAATCCAACAGCATTACAAACTGTCTGAGAGGACTAAAAAAAGGCAATTTCCCTTTTGAAGAGGAGAACCATGTTTAGCAACATACCATCAATGATTCTTTTTCTGACTGTTTTGCCACACTGTACCACATAGGCAATGCTAAATTACAGCTGGTATGCATGACTGCATCAGTTCTGGTAATAGTTCATCTCAAACACTCTGTTTATGTCAGTGTTTTCAGTGTACAATCGATGGAAGATTAATGCTATAAAGATGCTGGCACTCATAGAAGGTTGCCCGACCAACAAGAAAGTTATAATATGTACATGCATTATACACCTCACCATATAATAAAACCCATTTTAAAGCAAAAATTGACATTCCTCTATCTATTTTAACATATGGCATGCAAACTCCATTTTTTCAGTTTTATATTTTGGCAAAACAAAATAAAAAAACAGTACATGTAAAAATCCAAAACAACGCTGGGCTTAAATGCTCCTTCTTTTCTATATTAGAAACTAATATCTATATTAGAAACTTTCGGCCAGTTTGCTTTAATTTCAATAGCGTAACCATGGACAAGATGTGTTCTTAGAATGGACAATCCTACCAAACACTGCTTGTGTTTTAGAAACAAGAAAGAACTAGTATAATCTGTATGAATTCAATGGAAGGAATGAAAAGGAAATGTTCCTTGCTTAGTATTAATTTTCATTGTATACAAATAAGAAAATACTGGTTTTATCATTTCCAGTGTCATTTTTTAAATAATGATTGGTATATCTGAGAAATTAGTCAGTTGTGTGCACTACATCTGGTGTATTCACACAGTCCCCTAAATAGAAATTCTATGCCTTTCATATATTTTGACAGTAAACCAAGACAGCTTCCATTACCTAATAGTAGGAAGAAATGTACCTCAAATACATACATAAAAATAATGCATCCTTAAAATTAGATCCGGTTATCAATGGCACGTTATTTTTTTTTAATGGAAGATTTTGGAGTTTCACCGTAGTACAGTGTGCTGTAGAAGAATAAAAAAACACAAACACAAATGTGTATGGATTTGGAAACCACCTAACAGATTGTTAGCTTTCTATATTTAAGAAATTTGAGTAATTATGTTAAACCAGTCACCCTGACTTCATCTTCTTAGACCAGTTCAACTTCTGCCACATTAAACAATGGTACAAAAAATGTTCAAGCTATTTGTAGAAAATGAACTGTAATTTTTACTGTCTTCAAAACCAATAGCAAGCTTTCCAAAGGTTTACTGTGGTATGTCATTTTGAAAGCAGCCTAAAGCGTAGTACAGAACAATGTAAATACTGGAAGATGTATGGTAAAGTGGGGATCTTGTCTGTGCAATGATCTAGGCAAAGTAAAACTATAGAAAACGAGGAAAAACTTTTTGGAAAACGTTTTATTTAGAAATGATAACTGTCTTAGAACTAAATAACAGTCACCTTTAAAACCATCTATCTCCCATTTCACTCTTGAAGCAAAGACATCAAAGTTGCTCATTAAAAGACTTCATAATTACATGCACTAGGATTCTAAATCTCCTGTATGTTATTGCCAAACCTGAACCATGGACATTGTAACATCAATGTTCCAAAATATTTTCTCTCCAGTACAAAAATTGTAAAGCAGTCTAAATAGTGAGAATTTTTTTTGAACATGTATTCACAAACACATGCATAAAATATCATCACTTGAATACAAGAATCCCACTTGCCTTCATAAATGCATAACAGGTGTTGATCCACAACACTTTCATTGTAACCTATAATTTAGTAAAAACCAAGACCTTGATCTGTGGATGGCTTATAGGTCTCCCTGTTAAAAATGGGGTGAATTATGACAAAAGCAAAAGCAGATGGGGCTCCCAACTAGGTAAAGAGTCCTAAGTGATTGCTGGTTTGAGTCCAGTCTGTATCACTAGTCAATTAGCATCCACAATTTCCCAAAGGCTTGGCACACTCTTGGCCAGATTAGGTAGATTTGAAGTCAGCCAAGTTTTTTCTTGGGTTCATGGGTGCATATGAGCCTTCAGTGCTCTCAGTGAGAGCCATCAGTCTTTTATCTGGTACTTTGCTGTGCTATTGGCTTGCAGTATGTAAGAA